ACGGCTGATTGCGCTCTGAGGAAAAGGGCAAGCGGGCCCACATGAATGTCCTGAAGATGAACTCACCTGTAATTGGCTGGCGAATAATTGGATCGTCATGAGGATCATCCACACACAGTCCATTTGAAAGGCAGACTCGAGTAACGTTGCACTCAAACAGCCTGAAGGCAGCACTTCCTCGTGTATTCCAACCAGGTTCCTTGTCAGGTTTGAATGTCGTGATGTTGAAATTGTTTGGACGGTTGTTGAACGTTGACAAGTCGGCGAGAAACTTACCGGCAAAGTGCAGACGTGGGATATCTGCAAAAGCATGACAAAGGACTTCTCAGACACCTGGATACATCTACATGTGTATTTACTTAAGGTACACATGACTGTACAATGTACATGATTCAGACACAACTGATACATCCCAGTCCGTTTTAAAACATTGTACCTTGAGTAAACGTTGATTCAGTATTTTAATGATGTAAACTATACATTTCAGAAAGGACTCAAATAGCTCAGGCATTGACAAAAGATTTTGATTAGAGTTTTCATTACAACCCAGACATAATCAACCATTCTTTACATTAGCTTAAGTTCTTCACCGACTTGTCGGCTGGAATGACGACTGCAGATAGGCACACCCAGTCAACGATTTTAAGCCTCACATACAGGTCAAAAGAAGTGACGGAGGAACCTTGCAAATTTCTAGAACTGCCAAAGACTTCGGTCTAAATGCAATATAATACATTGTTGTAATGCACCAAGAGATCTGTAGTGCAAAAAGACATCGATTGCCAAATTTTGGACACCTTCAACCCATGATAATGTATTAGGCCACACCAAGTAAATTTTATGGATGACGTCCGCGCGCGCATTGATTTTGGCCTGTTCCTAGAAAAAAAAACAAGAAATTCCGCTTCCTGTAACTATGACCAAACATACTATACATGTAGTGCCGCAAATCGTCAGATTGACGTGAAACCCGTACCGCAAAAACAGGACAGGACGACAACTGCTGTTCCACCTGATTTATTGCTGTTTTGATGATGAATAAAAGACTTCTTGCTTGTTACACTGTGCTCGGTTGGGTTAAGGCGGCCTAGGCTGATATTCATGTTCGAGTTCGGACGTGTGTCTGCACGATTGCCACATACATGTTTCGAACCTGAATCATGTTCCACCATGTTCGATATGACGTCATTCGAATAGAACGCGTGTTCGAATTCGGGGTTACCGGCGGTCATTTGTATGTTTCCCCTGTAAACCCGCGTTGTTACGCATTTTATTCACGGAGTATAACTTAAACGGCTTTACGCGCAGCTGAAAACAACATAATTCATCTTTAGAGTAATCCATGTTTACGTATTATCACTTTTTTATCAAAATTGTCCGAGGCTATTTTGCATATAAGTCAAAATTTTCTAACTGTGGCGATTTTTTAACGAAAAATGACAGAAAAATAGCTGTTTCTGTCGTTTTTGGCCAAAAAAAAAAATGTAACTGTCATTTAAAACAAAATAGCCTCGGACAAAAATAATAAATAGGGGGTTGGCTTTCTACTTGTAAAATATCATGATGAAAGGTGTTGTTACCGCTTGCGCGTAAAGCCATGAAGTAAACAGCTTCTTTTTAACCAAAATGTTGATTTTTAACCCAAAAATTCAGAAGTAGTAAAAACAAAATAACCTTTATTCAATGTGTTTCAAGTACTACTAGAACTGTGTGAAGTTAAGTTGTGGTGCGACCAAGCTATCAAAAGTTACAGCCATATGTATGAAATACTAATCATAGTTGGCCATAGGCTGCCTTAACCCAACCGAGTGTCACTTCATCCAATTTGTGTCCTAACATTTGTCGTCTCTTAGTATATTTCTAATCTAGGCATCTTGTTTTTTAGGGCCCTTCTTGTTTTTTTTTCGCCCTCTCGCATTAGATTTGGGGTCTCCAAAGGACGTCATCCATAAAATTTACTTGGTGTGGCCTTAACTAATTTTTTGTGAGGTATCAAAATTTCATCAATTAAACACACAGAGAAGGGGGAGAAAGAGAGAGAGAGTGAGAGAGATATTGCCTCAAGTGCCACTATTTAACAGATGACTGAATTGTTACTCAGTAACTAGCTTATGGCAAGGTGCACCTTATCTGGTTGTTAAATGTTACCCGACATCAAAAGCTGTACTACTAAAAAGGTCCTGTGACTCTAGACAGCAAAACACAGCAGCTGACCTGTAACTTTGACTTGATCATTCCATGGTTCCCCATCATCAGTCAGGCAGAAATCTTCAGAAGTATCTGAAATCAAGTGTTGTATTTGTGCATCCGTTACATTACACCAAGTCACGACTGTTTCTGCACCAAGATGAGGTAATAATAGGGTTATTGAAGCGTTAAATTCAGCCACAAAGGACAGATGTGATCTTTTAACAGTTACACCCACTTCAAAGGGCAAGTATGAGACACAGTCTGCTACATTTACAGGATGGCTTATCTTAATGCCCTGCCTAAAATTGGAGTATCAGTAAAATTTTATACTTACTAATAGTTATTATATACATTGTACAAAGTAATCAGAGAAATGTGTAATTTTAGGACGGCAAAATAGGATTGTCGAAGTTAATTCTACGGTCATTTTTTAATACCAACTGAATGTAAATTTATTTAAGCCTCGGTCACAACCCGTCATGCGTGCTTTTTGTCCGTACTTTTTATTGGGAGGCCACGTCTGCTACGTTTTTCTGAAAACGTGGGGAAAGAGTGGCGTCAACGCATGTCACTCGCACGGTTGCGCAAGGTATAAGAGTGTGGTCTGCACGCCACGCCTGGCCGTGAGTGGTTGCTTGCATCCTTCGTTGCGCAAGTGGTGAGTCGTACCTGCTTACAATGTATCTCTGTGCGATTGCAACTTTACCATAAGGAGGCCGTACTCACACGTGCTTCTTACGTACGGTATGTACGGGGCACGCGCGTCGCCCACACTCGCACGTACGGGTGGTGAATCTGCAGACCGCACACAGAAAAAGTTTTACAACTTACATACAAGCACTTAAAGTTCTACGTCGTGTCTGCATGCTTCCAAATCTGTAGGATTCCGTACAGAGGTGGTACCACTTATAATTACGGATGCCCTTTGTTTGCCCACGTTTTTGCACGTAGACAGCACGCAGATGCACGTACGGCGGTATGTGACCGAGGCTTTACATGTGGCTGACGGAAAATGGTTGCTTATTTTGTATCGTAGGCTCAGGTTCTAGCTTTTTATATAGTTGGTACCCCAAAAAGAGATGAGTTTGGGGCTTTTTCTTCCATGCCTACATCAGAGGGGTCAGGGATGGGTTGGGTGGGATGATCGGACGTCCCCAGTATTTCTGTGAGGGGCATCCGGCCATCCGGGTGGGGCGGGCTCGGACGGCCAGGCACTACATCTTGAGGGTCCGGGATGTTTTCAATCTCACAGAGGATGCAATTATTTTTTGCCATTATCAGTTTAGCTATACCCGGTAATATACACATTTTGTAAAAGAATGGACAGGGATCCAAGACATTAACCATTTTGGCACAAAAAGCTGGAATCGGTACAGCATGTCTACTACTATCCATAAGAATCCCCCCAATTTGCCGTCGTAAACTTGTCATACAGTGACTGTGACTGTCCCAAGAAGTAGTAAATTAATAAATGGCCCTACCTGTGTCATCTTGGCCTTCACAGGTTCCTAGAACAGCGGCCAAGAGTCCAAGAGTAAGAATGCGACAAAAAGACATTGTGACTGTATCAATCACTGTCTAAATCTTTACAATGTAGCTAGCGATAATGTGTTTTGCCCAAAGAGACGGACTATAAAATTATCCCGTACTGGTAAAACTGGTATTGCCACATATGCTTTAGGACAGTAACTTGAAAACATGGCAGATCATGAGCAACTTATAAACTTTTAAACTGCATCGTTGTGACTCTCTTTATGTTGTTGATGTTGCTGCCATATGCTCACTGATGACTTTCTTCCTCATTTATTTTTCTTTTGAACGTATGTATGTGATTGTTTGATGACTTGATGCTTGCAGAGTCAAGCAGATAGCTTTCAAGGTCACCTACGTAAGACTCAGTTTACATTTAATGGCCCAGGGGTACATGTGACTTGTCAATACATTAATCATGCTGTACTGCCAGGCCCACCACTTGTTTTGTACAATATTCGAATATTTATTCACGCCCTCCAATTCAACTGTAGTCCTGGCATGAAATAGTGCCAAATGAAAATGAAAAATAAAGAGTAGCAGAAATTGTTTCATGACAGGAAGGTGGTACAATCATGTAGTTGTACCATCACGCAAATCAAGATGAGAAAATGCTACACTAGCCATCCTTGTTGAGATATTTCTTCTCAACCTTGAACAACTTATGGTCTCGGACCAGAGTTTCTTTAATTTTGTGTCCAACAGACACCCTCAGGCCAAAGGGCTTTTAACAGTTGCACCAAGAAAAGTATGGTGGAAAATCTTGATTGTATCTGATTTCAGTGAACAGATTCCAGCCAGCTTCCGATAGAATTTTGCGTATTGTTGACTCTTCAAACGGGGTAAAATTGTAGCAAAACGTAAATTTTTGACCAGATAAATATCTTTTTTACACTAATTTTTTTCAACTCGCCGGCAAGCAATGGGGAGCGAAAACAGTTTTACTACGAAGTTACTGACTTTACTGATTCATTCAAATGAGAACCTTATTTGCATAATCAATGATAAACTTTAAAGTTTATAAAATGTATGAGTAGAAATTCTTCAATCAATCACAGTCATTGATTGAAGAATTTCTACTGTTAATTCTATGTGACTGATAAACCTCTTCAACGATAAAATGTATCATACTTAACTTCAACATCATTTGGCAAAGGTATTAGGTCAATATCATGGACCTCTGAACTTTAAGTGCCATGTGTATGATTAGTGATTCATCTGTTAATATCTGATTCAGTAATCGCTGTTATTTTCGTAATCTGTTGTTGTTGTTGTTGCAGACAAGACCTGATAACATCCCAGGCCCTGCCCTGAGCCGTGTAGCGGGGGGTCGGATATCGGTGATCAACATTGTCGTGGTGGTGCTGTTCTTCGGCATCTGTCTGACGGCCCTGAATGTGTACGAGCTGCGCCGGCTGCAGAATGACCACATGAGCCTGCATCGGGACTGGTCAGCCGCAGAGGGCAGGACGGACAGGGGAGTCAAGGACAGGCCAATCGCTGTCATTAGAGGGAAAAGGGTAAGACAGATTGAATGTGTTTTTAAATCAGTATAGCCTCTTTAGGGTTACATTATATTGGTTTATAACCAGTTCAGATGATGCACAATGTAATGTCATACATGATGTAGCAACAAGCAATTAACAATGATGTGAATTTTCAAAGTAATTTACAGGCAATACAAGTTTATGTACTTTAAGTCATGATTTTTTTTGCAGTACTTTTTTTATCCACGGTCCACTTATGTACAGCAAATTTATCTTTGTAACAAAAAAATTATTTTGATTCTTAAATTTCTCTACACCGGTCCCCACTGTGAATAGTTTACATGTCCATATTTCTCAGACCTGGAAATTTTGCAACTGTTAAACACATATAAAGTGATTTACAGTAACTCATAATTAGCATACCTTTTCCACATGAAAGAATGATATACCATATAAAATCAAAAAAATCATAACAAAATATGATGACTCAGGTAATATGAAACATTAGCAAATGAAACCAAATAAATCCAAATCAATAGTCTAACTCATGGTCTTTTCCATTCCAACATCTTCACCATGGTCATACTTCTTTCCTCCCCAGCTGGAGTCTGGCTACCTGAACCATGTGTTTGCAGTATTCAAGAGGATCGGCTATGAGCGGGGGTTACCAGAGTCCAACTGGGACGTCATGTGGTCACACGACTACCCCTTCGCAGACCCCAAAGTCAGCCCCTATCTCAGGAACATGAAGCCTCATCAGAAGGTAACAATATTATCTTGCCTTTTGTCTGTCAATCTTCCCTCCTTCAAGATCACAAATCAACCCCACTTATCATTAAAATATATTTTTTTCATTAGCCACAGTGTCACTGGAAGACAGATGAAAACTCAATACTCAACCTGTCCTTGGTGCCGAACTCAATGCTAACCTGTCCTTGGTGCTGAACTCATTGCTAACCTGTCCTTGGTGCTGAACTCAATGCTCAACCTGTCCTTGGTGCTGAACTCAATGCTAATCTGTCCTTGGTGCTGAACTCAATGCTCAACCTGTCCTTGGTGCTGAACTCAATGCTCAACCTGTCCTTGGTGCTGAACTCAATGCTCAACCTGTCCTTGGTGCTGAACTCAATGCTCAACCTGTCCTTGGTGCTGAACTCAATGCTAACCTGTCCTTGGTGCTGAACTCAATGCTCAACCTGTCCTTGGTGCTGAACTCAATGCTCAACCTGTCCTTGGTGCTGAACTCAATGCTCAACCTGTCCTTGGTGCTGAACTCAATGCTCAACCTGTCCTTGGTGCTGAACTCAATGCTCAACCTGTCCTTGGTGCTGAACTCAATGCTAACCTGTCCTTGGTACTGAACTCAATGCTCAACCTGTCCTTGGTGCTGAATTTAATACTCAACCTGTCCTTGGTGCTGAACTCAATGCTTAACCTGTCCTTGGTGCTGAACTCAATGCTCAACCTGTCCATGGTGCTGAACTCAATGCTAACCTGTCCTTGGTGCTGAACTCAATGCTCAACCTGTCCTTGGTGCTGAACTCAATGCTAACCTGTCCTTGGTGCTGAACTCAATGCTAACCTGTCCTTGGTGCTGGACTCAATGCTCAACCTGCCCTTGCGCTGAACTCAATGCTAACACAACTTGTACACAACCTAGAGGAGGTCTAAGACCTTAAATTCTTGTTATGGTATAATGATATCTATGTGTTCCTCATGCAAGAGTTTGCAATGAAACTTTAATTGTTTTGTTGTGTATTTCCAGGTTAACCATTGGCCAGGGAGTGGATACATCACCAACAAGATGAGCCTGGCCACCTCTGACATCCACTTCATCCCCAAGGCCTTCAGTCTGCCCCACAAGAAGCAAGAACTCTTGAAACATGTAAAAACAACTTTCCTCAGTTTGTAAAGATGAGAGGGTTCATTTTACTAAGTTGATTTGTACGGGTGCTGCAGCAGACAGTCTGTGGTGTTAGATTGCATTATGTAGCAAAGGGTAGGACAGAGTCGAAGAGGCTGGTCCTCATAAATATTATATGAAAGAAAAACAAAGCTGTAGTTTGTTGGTCTAGACCATGTGAATTTTTAATATTATGTATTTTGTTTTGCAAAATTAATATTACCTTTCTAGTTAATTCTATGTTTGTATGTTCAATAATGTCTAGGCTGAATCAAACCCCAAGAAGATGTGGGTGCAGAAGAACAACAATCACCGAGGCATCAAAATTAGACCTCTGGATCGTAAGTAACACCTCTTATTTCTTTCTTTTTCATTTCACAGGAATACTTTTAATTCACATATTTTGTCCTCCTGGTAGTATGGTGGCTAGGCATGGTGTTTTAGTGCTATGAAATGTGACTACTAGTAGGTACAACACACATCTTTGACAGTCTTACTGTTACTGAAAATGAGTGCTATCCAGAAAAGGTGTAGCCTTACACGGTAGCCTGGCAGGGTGGACCACCCCACCTTTTCCAAAAACCCAAAAATGAGACCATGGAGTCAAACTGCATGAAAAGACATTTGAACACCTTCATTTCTTTACACATGCACATAAATGATTTGTGCAGATATTTTTTTCCATACAGAATGTTCTCACATGTACTGTGCCTTTCCTTGCTCCACAGAACTGGACCTGACAGGAGAGAGTTTTGTACAGGAGTATGTGGACAAGCCATTCCTTGTTGATGGCAGGTGAGGTGCGGTCACAATTAAGACATGCTAAACAAGAAATGAAAGATTTCCTCCCTAAAATGTGTAATTTCAGTTTTTGTAACAGTATTTTTTGCTTTTGCTTAATATTATAATGTGAATTTCTCACTGATGCGTGTATACATTTTCCACTGGCACCCAAGGCAACAAACATGCCCTGATAGCAGAAAATTGAAGACAGGAAATAACCTTCGTTGGAACCTTTGACCTGATGTCCTTTCAATGTCAGTGTTATATGATTGAGTGTACAGAATTTATGTTTAACATTGTGTATGTAACTATGTGTATATGTAACACCAATTTTTATATACTGAAGAAACTAAGAATGGCATGTCATAATAACTACTCGTCTTTGTTTTCTATAATTGCAGGAAGTTTGACATTGGCATCTATACAGTTGTGACCTCCATTGACCCCTTGAGGGTGTACATGTATGAAGAAGAGGTTCTCTTCAGGTAACATAATTATAATACTCTGTAATGTATGATTGTACATTAGTCCCTTAGATTTTTGTGTTGGGTTGTCGATTTACTGTCAATTGTCATAATTTAATTGGAAAAAAAACAATTTTGAATGCAGTCAAATAGACAGTAGCAGATATATTGTATAAGCAGTCATGTAATGTGTCTTGTTTGAAAATAGATAAAAGATCACGGTATGGTTCTCCTCATACAATTTGAGTGTCTCAGATGGGGTATTGTAAAGAGGCAGGTTTGTTTGGTATCTACAGGAATCAGTGATTGCATCTGATGCATCATCATTTTGTGTTGGCATGTGGGGTATGGCAAGTAGATGAAAGTGTTGAGTAATTTACATGTATGTCATAGATTACTCGTAGAGCTGTGTACCTAAACAAATTTTAGGTACAGGTACAGGTACAGGTACACAGGTTTAGGTACAGGTCCGGACCTGAACCTGTACCTGAACAATTCGACCAATTTATATGCTCTTCTGAACTCCTTCAATAACAAAAAAAATTAATAAACTTGATAGTTAAGGTTTATTCTTTGTTTATGGCGAATGCTCAGATGAAATATAGGCAAAACTAAAGATGTTTTTGTTTTCATGAACACACTGTCCTTACACAGGGACCGATTTGAGGTCACAAATAGGCATAAAATTGGTGTGAAATTGTTTAGGTACGGTACCGGTACTGAGGGATTAGGTATTTTGGACCTGTACCTAATCAATTTTTCCGGTACAGTATCGGTACTGCGTACCTGTACACAGCTCTAATTACTCGTCATTAGATTCATCCAGTTCCTTGTAGTCTCACGTGGGAAAAAAAGAAGGGGGCTCGGTCAGCATTGCGAGTGGGGAGGGGGGCTTGGCGCTTCTAAGTCTCCACCGTATCATACAAACAACACAGTTTGAAAAAAACTGCAAATACTTTGAATTCCTTCCTTGCTGCAGGTACTGTCCCAAAGATTATCATCCGTTTGATCCAAATGATGTCGACAAGTATGTTGTCGGCGATGACTACACACCAACTTGGAAGGTAAGAACCTCTTCACCAGAAATAACCTGTCAGTGAGACATTTTTTTTAGAATTTGAAGGATGAAAAGAGTAATTGCTAACTCATGCTAGGATTGATTAGGAATTTTTATTTTCCTTTACTATACAATTTTTATATTTCAGGAAAAGTCACCAACTTTGGTGGTTCTAGCTTAAGCCATTCAGACATTATACAACTAAAAACCCTCCTCCTTATAGCCTAATATCTGAATTCGCTCTTTATAAGGTGAAGAAGAAAAGGGCACTGAGGAAAAAGGAAAAGAATTTACTCCATGAAATTATAAGGAAAAAATTCTCCACTTCAAAATTCAACAAGAGTGAATGTATTACACATTGCGAATAAATGGTACAATGTACGTCTTTAAAATTTTACAAATCTCATATCAACTACTAATCAAAACAGTTTTGATGAGTCAAATACTTTTCTCTGCAAATGATTTATATCATTAAGAAATGCAAGAATACAAAATAGATGTAACAATAAAAATATTGCCTGTCATGCAGTTTCAAACCACTAGTCTGAGATGGAAGGATTATGCTACAGGTCTAACAAAGGGTACATCTGAATCATCACATTACTCTTCTTATTCCTAACATTTCTTACAGTGCAAAAAGCTGCAATTTCATATTCGTTGAAAAATAGTCGTAATAAACACACTATTCACAACAGCATGCTTTATTGTGAAAGCACTCCACTGGTTCAAATAGTAAAGAAAAAAAATAAACAGAAAGCGTGGCTTATTCATGACCTAAATACATAATACAAACTTTTATAATGCGTCTGTGTGTAGCGTGTAGTCTAGTACTTTCTAGATGCCCTTCTGGTTTGCAGTGGTTGCAAATCAAGAGGTTGTTTGTAAAATCATGCACAAGTTGTATTGACACATAAAGTAGAGTAAAACATCAATGTAAGTAAATAGACAAAGTACATGTTCACCACATATGGTATGAAGTGAAATATAATATGTAATCAAAAGACATCATATGTATATAGGAGCCTACACATTTAGCTTTAAGTTAATATATTCTCATCGCCAATATCTAGACTTTGGCAGCTAGAGTTGATTTGGGTGTATAAGTAACACTTTCTTCCCTTTTACAATGCTCTTTGTTGTAAAATGAAGTGGTCTTCTTTAAGTTAATAGTACTTGATGTATGTGAATCTGCCGACTCATAAGTGGTGGCCTCCGCTGCCGCAGCATAAAATGGATCCTCTGTCTGGTAGGAGTCATCTTTGACCTCTGGGCGAAGGTCGTTAGTCTGTCCACGCTGGACGCCATTTTGATGGTCGTTGTCGATGTCTTCGTACTCGTGAATGGTAATGTCCTCTCTGTCCCGGTTCTGGTCGTTCATTTCTCGCCAGACGCCATTTTGATGGTTGTTTTCGCTGTCTTCATACTCATGAATTGAAATATCGTTTCTACCCTGAATTGAAACATTGTAACAGTTCCTTTCTTGCTGTTCCTGTCGCATTTGTAACACACATATGACAAAGCACGTAATGACCATTGCTACAGAAGCAGCAATCAGAATCAAAAGTGTCAGGTTGTATTCTTTCGACGTATCGGATAACCCGTTGCCTAAGATAACAACGTAGTCATTATTATTCACATATTCTGTTGTATCATTGAAAACGACTATCTTCTTAACCACGATGTTGCTTGAAAGGTTTGCGGAACATTTAACTTCCTTTCCCAACCAACCATTTTCTGAGACATGAGCGACTACCGTAGAGACTGTCCTCCCAATAAAGTTTTGGCAGGAAATATTGACTTGGGACTGGCTTGACTCAATATTTCTTACATTATCGGAACACACCAACCAGCCTTCTGGCCTCACGGTGTGTTCCACAGACCAGCTGATGTTCCCTGGTGCCTGAAACCGAATGGTGCTGTTTTGATGGTCCCCTCGAGAGGGAAGCTCAAGTACAACATTCCCAGGTAGTAGCCAGGTAATGACGGGCTCCTCTTCCCAATACACCTTGCATGTGAAAGCCTGTTTGCCTTTTGCAATGATCCTTTTCTTTTCATTGCTGAGTTCTACTAGTGGAGGAGGGCAAGGTAACTGTATGGTAGAGTTCAACATGGGAGTACCAGATAAGTCTGGGGGATGAACACATATGATTCCATGGTGTACCTGTTTCCAAATAGATGGAGATAGGTTCCCCAGGGAGGGGAATTGGTCCGGAGGCATGGGACACATACAGCGGTAAGGGTTATCGCGTAACTCCAGCACTTTTAGTTCCTCATTGCCAGCTAGTTCATCTAGCAGGTCAATAGGCAAATGTAATAGTTCATTTTCTGACAGCAACAAGCTTCTCAAATGCTTCATTCCCTTGATGACTTCTGCCTCCACAACCTGAATGCGATTGTGTGTGAGGTTCAAAACCTGGATGGGGGACGGATTTGCAAAAGCGCTCGCATCTATGACAGTCAGATCATTGTTGTCAAGTTGAAGGTCACGTAGAGAGACAAGGGCTTGAAATGCTCCCGGAGCTATAGTATTGATGCGGTTTCGTGACAGCTTCAGTGTGTCAAGTTGAGAAAGACCTTCGAAACTACCTTCTGAAAGATGTGTCAAGCAGTTTCCTGCAAGACTTAGTTCCTTTATTTGACGCACATCTTTAAACACGCCGTCTTCGATTTCAGATATCTTGTTGTCAAAAAGGTGAAGAACCCGCAAACTTTGTAGTCCGTTAAACGTGTTTTGGAGGATACGCGTCATACACGTTTGTGAAATCTCTAATATGTGCAAGGATGCTAAAGTAGCAAAGGTATTTGCCTGAACCAGTTGGAATTTGCTTGGTCCGACATACAGTCTTATCAAATGTAATTTTCTAGGGATATCTTGAGGAGTTAAAATGGTTGATGTGTGGCTGTGAAGCTCCAGTGCAATAGAATGTCTCACGGGGGTACACGTGTCAAGTACGTGTACAGAGAAACCGGATGCATTAAATGCCACACAACGTGGCCTTGAGAAACCCTGTACACTGTACGTATGGGTTACACCATCTGATGTGCAAATGCGACTGATTGGTACACAGTCCTTGTGGATTGTATCAGAAGTAGGGACAAAGGAGAGGAAATTTAGAACTAGAAGTAGAAGAACCGACCGCATGTTGCTAAGATGTTTGCCTGACCAGATGGCAGTCACTTGCTTCAGTATTGTAAACCACTGAAAACAAAATAGAAACACTAACTTCTTGTCGCAACAATATTTCAATGACAACAAACACTCTCAAATTGGAATTACTCTAGCCTGTACCAGGCTTTGGGAGGCAGCTGGAAAGAGTAGAAATCGACCAAATAGACTCAGATAGCATGCCGGTTTGCCGCTGGTCCCTGTTCTCTCCGGCACACCAACTCCCCTGGCATGCTAAAATCTCTTTATTTGGCCGATTTCTACTCTTTCCAGCCGCCTCCCGAAGCCTGGTATAGGCTAGAATTACTCAATTCACAATTCAAAATTAAGGCTACGAGCTTTTTCACATGCACATCCAGCAATGCACACAGTTAAACATGGTGAAAACATGCATTACTCAAACATAGGAATTGTGCCAATCTCAAAAAAGCTCAAACTTATCTATAATACATGTGACCTGCACCACAACACACATTGACAAAAATGAGGGGGCCACCCACTAGGAGCACAATTTAGTTAGTCTAGACTTGTACCTTATTTGATAGAACCAACGGAGTACAGCAGAAACACTCCTGTGTGGTTGTTTGGTGTGCCCTCGAGCTGTCCACTTATTAGTCTGGGTTGGAAAAAAAACATCCTTGAGCACATATGTGGGTTGATTTCTCCTCTCTCTGGGTAGGATAGATAATACACAAGTCATACAGTTCCATGATGAACCACAGTTCGGAGACCTCATTCCTCCTTGAAAAAAATGAAGGATTGGCAAATTTTGTTGTTTTGTTTGTTTTGTTATTTTTGTGTCATAATCAGCATAATCTATTTTGATTAATAGTCTTCTCTTCTTCAATTACTAACATGTATATAGCACAATTGTGTAACAGTCTTTTGGCAGAAATCCATTCTAAAATATCAAATTATTTAATATGATTACATTTTTATATTGTCATCATGAACAGATGCCATCCCTGAAGGAGGCCTATAACAGGCTCCAGTATAGTCACAAGGAGGCATGGGACCACTATGTCAGGTCTATAGGTGGGTACAAATTCTTGTTAGTGACCCTGCTTCTGTGCAAGAAGCCATGAGTTTGGTTACTTATTCGATATTAGCCCTTTCCTTGGTGCTGAAAGTGCTGTTCCTAATAAACACAGTATTTATTAAAAACAGCACTTTCAGCACCAAGGAAAGGGCTAAAATACTTTAAATCACTTTATATTTGCAGTACTTTTATTTTCATGGTCTTCCCAGTCACTTTTATACTGCGAATTTATCATTACAGTGCACATTAAAAGTAATTCCCTGACTTTTTTCTTCTCCACCTGCTACCATAGCAAATATATATAGTTCCGTAAACATGTCCAAACCGCGTCTTTGGTACCATGAATATCATGGTTCTCCCGTCGACACAATGGATGAGCGCCTAAACCATGAATGTATAAAGTGAATAGCATTATGTTTTTAGAGGCATTAAGGAAGCCATATATATCAGGGCACTCCAGCCATCACTTAACAGAGATAGTGGACGATATGAACTCTCTGGCACTTTTGATCAATTGCTTACTGTACAAATGTACATCACGTATCAGTAACTGTAACTGTCTGTAACTGTAACTCTCCCAAGATTTTGAAGTGATTGGTCGTTAATTATCCTGATGAAGGTGACAGTGGTCGTTGAAAATTTGATCTCTGTGTACCCTTGTGTTGAAATAAAGTTTAACGTTTTACTAACATTATGTTTTCTTTTTTGACAGGGAAAGACCCTTCCACTGTTTGGAGAGATGTGAAGGCATCACTAAGGGAGGTTGTTCTGGCCAAGGAACCACAACTTGTGGACGCACTGCACAGCAAATACCAGTCTGTCAGGTACAAACTAAGGTCATTTAGAACAAGTTTAACTCAGTAATAATCTACACTGACACAAAACCACAGTTTCTGTTGGATGATCGGGCAACATGATTTCCGACACAATATTTCAAAACTACAGAATGACAAGATATCATCCCTGAATACACAAACATGACCTCAAATAACATGTTCTGTAGATTGAAGTGCTTTGCATGTCACGTTTCTGATTTCATGTAGGTATGGTATGTGCTACTGATGTGATGTCTAACTCCAACCAGCAAGAAAAAACTCAAGATGGATGTGGGCTACAATGTAAATCTAGTCAGACTGCTCCCGACATCCACCGTGGTTGGTTGGTAGTCAGTCAAAGATTATATTACAAGGGCTTCAGACAGACTCAGAGAAAATGGTATACCTTTAATTTACAGTTTCTGCCAACATGCACTCTTTTCTAATTCTGTGTTTCAGGAACTTCTTTGAGATGGTTCGTTTTGACTTTGTTATAGACGAGGATCTGAACATTTTCCTCATGGAGGTACGTGGAGCGTTACCATTCCTTCTCCAACACCATTGAAAATTACATGTACTGATGGGATATTATCCTAAAATACACTTAGTCTAATACGACCTTAAAAGAGACCTTCTGCTAAAATTCTATATGAGTAAAAGTTTCACACAAGTATAGTACGTTCTGCTGACATGCTCCATGGACCAGTGGTGACTTGTAAATTTTAAAAATTGGAACAAAATGTGAAGTTTGCATACTAAGCACTAGTAATCAAATATGATGTCCCCCACAGGTGAACATGTCCCCTAACCTGTCATCAGCTCACACCCCTCCTAATAAGGGCATGTATGAACAGGTGAGCAAGGTTTTATTGTTGACAGGCAATGTTTTAAAAGTATTTCATTATAATAATGTGATTTTTAAGCAACTATGCTATTTTCTGAATCTGCATTTGTTAACTTGATGCTAATGAATAAATAAAAGTAAAGTAATGATCAAAACACTGTGTAATGTTTTTTCACTTGATGTTCCAACTGTATTTTTGCAATGCTTCATTATATGTCAGCTGACTTCATATTTCTTGTTTGTACACTTTCAGATAATATTCAACCTGCTCAGTCTGGTTGGAGTAGCCAGATCCATTCCAACAAGCCTTGAAGGAAGGTAAGGCGCATAACCACACAAGACAGTGTAATAGTGTGTGTTTAATATGCATTATAGATAATCCATGTGCTGTTGCACGACTTCTAACCGTGTTTCTACATAACCACAATTTAATTGTGATTTACACAACTTTTGCAAAAATGATTTAAAACCGTGTGTAAAACGTGAACTGAACTGTAAAACGTGTGGGAAGGGATGTTAATCGAGATCCATAACACACACACACACACACATTGAAGTGTGCTGCCTTTGAATTTTGCTGTTTGTTTTTGCTTACAAAGAGATCAGCAGTCGAGAGTGCTTCATGATTGTACAACATTTCTATTTGAATTTGAGTGTTTTCTTGTATTGAAGAATTAAACTCAACTTCTATCCCCTGGTTGCTCCTGTAGTCCAGAGGACCAGAAGGACATGTTAGTGTGTGAGCGAGACATCCAGGTTTACTCTGACGTCTGTGACTCTGAAACCTGCCGGTCCACAACAAGCTGTACAAACAGGGTGAGTCTCTCACTCTAACTAGTAGTTTATTTTTTTCTTTTGTGAAAACACTTGGCATTTTCCAAACCAGAACTGTGCAGGCTTCTACAAGGTCAAGGAGAAACAGTCTGAGGACATGAGAAAAGTCAATGACTGCTTGTATTATTCTGTGCAATGTTATCTTTTTTTTACACACAAATAAAGATGATTTTTGTAACAAAATTGGAAGACTGTCTTCATATTATGCGTTCCACGTAACAGTTTAAGATTTCTTTCCTTGTTTTTTGATATTTCAAGATTAAGTGTGCCCTTCAAGTTATTCTTTTCGTCATTCCACACAGTCATGGAGATTCAACAAGTTCCTAAAGCACAAGGTTGTTTTGATATAGCTATGTTTGTTTTTCTTGAAGGTCTGCAAGTTGTGTGGACATTGTCTGACACCTGACTGGAGGGAACACCTGAAGGCTGCATTCTTGGAACATGTCGGTAGGAGGAACTTCAGGAGAGTCTGTCCAGTACCGATGGTTAGTCAGCTCTTTGTCATTGTGTTATCCTGGTGCCCTTTGCAGATTCTGAAGAAAAACATTTGTTTTGCTCCATTTTTATTCTTCCTATTCTTCTGTTCCAAACACATATCAATGGCCTAGACCAGATGTCTGTCACCATTTTAACGAAATGTTTATTGCAAATTCGTGCCCAGAGGCTAATTGCAAATTACAAAACATAAAAGAACAATGATATAGAGTACTGTAGCAGACACCCTGTGGTGTTGGATAACATTATGTAGCAAGTTGCAGGACAGTTGTTAGGGCTGGTCACTATGTATCCGTTTGAGTAAGAATAAACAGAGCAATAGTTTGTTAGGCTAGACGATGTGAACGTAAACGTTGTGTATTTACTTTGCAGATGTTCCCTAACTTTCTACTTGTAGTTTGCTCTCAATGCGTGCTAAAAGACAACACTTTCAAAATGAAAATTGTCACCAAAATTGTCACCAAAATTGATGAAAATTGTCACAGATTTGTAACATAAATCTGGTAGCTCGGCAAAGGAAAAGTGAGCCCTTTAAGTTCTGTACTGATTGTAGATTATTTCTATAGACTCAGGAGGAGGCAGGTGACACTGAAGTCACAAGTCAGTCCAGCCTGAGCGAGGCCAACTGGCTGATGGACTACTGGTACAGGGGCAAGTGCCTGCAGGACCCGGCATGGTGTACATAGGCTGTTCAATGTAGGTTTTCTTAGTGCCATTCAACTGTGGGCCAATCTTATGAGCACTATACAGTTGTACAGCTTATTACAAAAAATTCCAGAAAATACCCTTTTTGTTCTCTTTTATCTACATTCCATTTAAGTATGCCAAGTTATGTTGTGTGGTGTTTTTTTTAATTTATTTTTTGATTGGGGAGATAAGATATAACTACACAAATATTGGTAATACATAATGTAGCAAAACATTCCATAAATATATGCAACATACATTGTAGCAAATGCAATCATCGACAAAGGTCAAATGTTATAATTGTGGCAAAAATCATGTCGTACACTATACTGTAATTCAACAAGAGATAAAATTAAATACAAGATTTTAGCAATAGATTTTTGGAGTGAATAATAGTAACAAGATTATATGTAAGGAATATCTTGCCAAACATTGTACAAGAAGGAACAGTAACAGTGTTCTGATCATAGCCCAAAAGTTCATCTATGTACTGGGTAGAAGTCATTATGAAACAAGTCTGAACAGTGTACATGCCAACAGAACAAGTGGACCTCCCAAATTTTTGAGTGTTCAACTCAAATCTTTGTCAAAGAATGAGCAGAAACAAGGGGCTCCACAAACCTTCTACAATTTATGACCCACTGGGCTCACCAAGTCACATGCATAATGAAAACAGTGGATTTCTCATTTCCTTGACAAAGACTAGAAAAAATTTGGGTATGTCCAGCTCTTGTGTTGGGAATTACAGACTGCGTTCAAACTTGTTTCATAAGTGTTCTGATTGGAATTATATCCTATGAAATGGAGTAAACAGGGTAAAGTGGCTGTTTCCCAGAAAATGTCCACTGACTTGGTAATATGAAGGAGCTGACTTTTTCATGTGGACTGTAATATATATATAGATATGAGGGATTAAAGAGGCCATCTACATCAGGGCATTACAACCATCCCTCAACAGAGACGGGGGGCGCCACAGACTTTCTGCAACCTATGATCCACTGCTCACGGAGTCACGTGTGTTATCTGCGTGATGTCACGGAAGTGGTGGAATGCTCATTCCTTGACAAAGACTGGAGTTGTACAGTCAAAAATTTGGGTCCAATTTGTTGTGTTGTAAATTGCAGTTTAAACTTGCTTCATAGTAATATATAGTTAGTGTTGTACTTAGTGTTATCATGTGGACAAACTGGAGGGCATTCTTTTGTATCTTTAGAGGATACATGCTTGGACTTTCTCAATATTTAATGCAATAGATGTAGTAAATTTTATTCATTTGTTTCTTTAATGTATGTCAATTTTCTTCATTGGGTGAGAAGAGTCCAAAACTATGCATTATGTTGCCTAGCTGCTGCAGTTCAACAATAAAAAAGTAAGAAACAAAGACTAATACAAAAGAAATGTATATCCAATATAAGTCAATATATTGTTTACATTTTTATACTCTGTCTTATAAGGCTGCTACATGTACCTTGGTATCTGGAATATTCAAGTTTTAAATATATCTATAAGAAATATGCATATTACATATGAGGAAATTTCAAAAGACTATGTCATATGTTAGTGGCAAGTAACATAATGTACAGTTTTTACATTTTGGTGTACAAGTAGCAGTTTTTGAAAATGAAGTGATGTACATACTTGCAAGTAGACAATCATGACTATTGTTATTAGATTGTTAAAAAATTATGTTTTTAGATATTAAACTATGCTACATGATATATTATGTGTACCATAAAGGCAAGGATTACAGTATTTGAAATCCCATTCTTGTATATTAGCATAGTGTAAGAATACATGTAGTAAGATGTCTAAAGACAGTGCAAGTACAATGTTGTACAATGTAGTTTGGAATATGCAACTATTGAGGAAACGTATTAATAATTGTGATTTTTTTTCTAACGTTGTGTGTTCATCTATTTCATTCATAGAGGGAAAATAAACTCAGGTAATACCTGTTTTCATGGTATCCCTGAAATTAAAACCTAAAATCACCACTAGCACTAATTATTTAATGATAATCAACATCACCAACATACAAGTACAAGTGTTGCAAAGTATAGTGTAGAGTACATATAGTGTAGCATTCAGTTTGTAATATGAAGACATGTGAAAGGTCGATTGGCTTGGCCTTATAGGAGCAGTGGACTCTTGAGTTGAACAATAAAAAGACCCAAACAATCCTTTCAAAACACTCCAAAAGTTTCTTCAGCTGCCGGTTGGAGTTGTTCTTGTGTATGAGAATAGATCAACAACAGGATAGCCACAAGGATACAATACATATTTTTAAAGCTTGTACGTGTATGCAGTGATACACAAAGTTTTATTTTAATTTGCAATCATGTCAAATTACAGAGAAGACTAGAAATTTGATTGAACAACATTCGATTTGCAACAGGTTTGCATTGTGGAAAGATTTCGTTCAATCAGGAATATTGATTGGTATAAACTGGCTCAAACTGGTATAAACCTCTTCAGAATATATTGTAGTTTTTATAATACTAGTTTGAGCCAGTTTGGTAAGTTTCTCCGTCGCCACACTCAAAGAAATTATGAACGGGAGCCTTTTACACAAAGTCGCGTAGACTTTCTTGCTGAAAATTTAGTTTTCATTCTATATGTTGTCAGTTATACATTGTAAGTAAATTGATACTGTTGCTGCCTTGATATGATTCATAAGAATCATAATAAAATATTATTTGGCCAGTGACTTGTTAATGATACATCTGAGAGAAAGGCCACTTGATAAGATTATTCACAACATTTGAAATCTTAAATTTAAATGCAGTACACTTTCTTCACGACAATTGTAAGACGTTTTTACAGGCATCCAGTGCAGTATTTAGAACTTGGAGACCAGATTTTTCAAAGTCAATATTCCAGTCACTTATCTACATACTAACCTGACACAACACTGTCCCAATGTATATCGACATTCATTGAGCAATAATGCCCAAAATTATGACAAAAACGATTTACTGACCTGGATTGATTTTTAGGGTACCACCCCGAAAATAAGGGACTTTATCTTGGGGCTTGTTTCTGCAGTTTTAAATGCCTAAAGTATGAAATACTGGATAGATTCAAAACAAATGTGCTCATGTGGTACAGTTATAATGTGTCAATATTATACAGATTGCCCTTCTTCAGAATATTCCCAGTTTTGCCGCCCTGAAATTGCATGGGATGCCTTTAAGACGACAATTTTTTTACATCGATCGCAGGTCAGTTGTACAGGACTCGGCAGTCTCGGTCACGCCCCGTGGGGCCTGGGTTAAACCACGGTAAGAGCTCCACTGTTTGTTCAGACCTCACTTCACTCTCCAAAGCCACAGGTTTTACCCCGGACCAGATCCTGTCTTTAGTCCTCGCTAAGCAGAACTGCCAACTCACCGCCTTCACTCGCCATTTTGCACTGTAAAAACAGACCGGCCGCAGAGCGGCTTAGATTTTGGTGGTTCCATGGTTGGGCTTCCTTCCAGCCTTTAAAACCAACAACATTTGCGGGACAGTATACACAGTAACGATTGCTCCTTCGCTGACCCGAAGTTGGCTATATATAGTTTTTGAAAATCGGTGGCTGCGGATACTCCGGTTTCAAAACCTGCTCCCGAATTCAGGATGCTGTCTACATACGGTTGGGAGAAGAAGAATGACATCCCCTCAATCGTAAGTTTTGAATAATATCTACTCAATCTATGGTGTTTTGGAGAAATGACTTAGTCGTCCAACGTTTCTTTGCAGTGTGAACTGGTCGATTTAGTACTACGAAGTTGTTACGGTGAGGCCGGTTGAAGAATGGTTTTCCGATCCAATGACGTAGTTTCTCTACTTTTGTAAACAAATGTAACTACGAAAAACGACCACTTTTGAGAGTATGGAGTCCCTGTTGAGATATTTGAAAGACGTCTTGGTCAACAGTCAAGTGATCTTGATTTATAAGTTTCGACTATTGTGTGTTAGTACGAGAGTACGCGTTCTGTAGAGAATGGTCAGGTCAAGGAAACCAAACTTTGCTTGTAGTTACAGAAAGACTAACACCAAGAGAAATGTCCTCTTTAATTGTACTAGTATACAAGATACGTTTCCTAGTTTTCGACATTAAGGTAGCACAGAAAAATTCGTATTCTTTACGGGTCTGGACAAACCATGCATTACTTGTAAGCTCCATATGCATCTATATTGAGAAGCGAGAAAAAGTTACTCCTGAGTCTATATAGAGAAGCGAGAAAAATTCAAACCTGTACTAGAAGTAGTTAGTCTGTATAGTTGTAGTAAGGATTTCACGTTCTAATATCATTGTAATTTTACTTCTGATTTCTTACCACGATCTGCACTTAGCTTGTAGCAGCATAAACGTAGTACTACCGGAAAGATTATTCATTCATTTATTCATTCATTAAAAATCATATGTTGTTATGCATGTGCAGAAGGTCCTTGCGTCACCAAATAAAATGTGATGCAATTCGAATGAGAATTCAAAAATCCGTTCTCAACATTTTTATTTTGTAGTCAAGAGCCTACCAGTCGCCAGGTACCGCGGTGACCCGGCTGATCGGGCGGCGGATGATCCATGTCGTTGCCGCCGTGCTGTTCCTGGGGATCTTCGTCACGGCTCTGAACGTGTACGAGCTGCGCGGCATGCAGGACGGCAGCAGGGGCCTGCAGCACAGGGAGTCATCGGTACAGGAGGGAGAACGGGAAAAGGGGATTAAAAATGAACCAATCGAAGTCGTCCGGGAAAGAAGGGTAAGACGATTAGATCGTGACCTCCTCGGAACTTGAGTGAACTTCTCTGTTCTTAACTGAGTTTATATTGTAATTCTTTTCGTGAACAATCACCAACAAACGTACCAACTAATATCTGCCAGAAAAGAGCATAAAATAGTCGTGCCTTCAAGTACCAGGGTTATCAAACTAGGATCTTGGTGTTCCAAAAACTCGTTTTTATCCTAGAACTATAGAGCGGAATTCGTTGACACCCAAATACAGTAGTGGCATCATCACTAGATAATTTCTAACAGTGCTTATAGTTAGATGTGCAAAGGCCAGATGTAACAGGTCGTTCGTTGTAGTATAACCAGCGGTTGCCGCTCCGCGTGCCTGCGAAGATGATGTTACACGTCGAAGGGCGGTTAAACCGGCTAATAAGCTAATAATAATATACAGATTATACAGATACCAAGTGCAGCATGATAATATAATTATTCATGAGACATCCGTGAATAGTTTCATCAGGTTGCCGGTAAATCACGGAAGAAAGAGACTCTTTTTACACAACCAGAAGGTTTATTCAGCCGACGGTCAGAATTGCCCTGAAGAAGGTGGCAGACGGTTACCTAACGTCGGCTGTGAAAAAAAGGTCTCTTTAGTTTATTCCCCATTCATGAGACAGAATATAAATTTATGGGATGTCTAACCGACCACAGGAACTGTACAAGCAGGACGAAGGCCAAGTGGATGAGCCAAATGTCCACAGAACACCCACAGACAGCCGTGTTCCCATCAATGAGATCGAAATGCTTGACAAAGGAGCCACTGCCGATTCCTCACAACAAACAAAGGAGGTATGAGACCTGTAGATAAAGTGGAATTACTGTAGATTGCAATCAGTAGTCATATACATGTATGGACTGTTGTCCAGAATTCATACGTATGGTTGACTAAAAGTGGATTTACACAAGAAAACAGGTTCTCAACCAACTGGGTAGATTTTGAAACTGATCCGGTTGATTCATGCAGTTACTTCAGTAACGACTAGTTCTGTTTTTTGTGTGTGTATTTCGTTACCTGGATGTCTAACCTTCGTCGACGTAAAAGTGTATTTAGAGTGGGATTTCAACGTAGGTTCTGGTACCACTTCATCATCATTTTGCCCCTAAGTCTGGTTGACCGTTAAGCACCACAGATACTCTGTTAACCACCTTTCTCTAACCTTGTCTGGGCCTTCTCTATTCTCTGATGTTATCCCCCGATGTTATTTATCAGAATGTCTTCTGTTTGTTTTAAATTCATTCTGAAGTTTATTACAGCTCCCGTAAAATGCAACGTAAAGCACGTATAAAAATATTAACATCGTGCTCACCTTATAACACAGGACGAGTCACAGCATTCCGAGAGAGATAATGACCCTATTGTGAAACAGCAAGATGCATCTCAACAGGTTGACGTAAAGAAGGACGAAAATCCACGCGGTCCCCGTCTGTCATCAGTGAAGGAAGTGCCCGGGACAAACGGCAAACAACCGCGCAAATCGAATCCAAATCTGACTAGGAAACGAGCTCATCTGCCAATCAGCAAGCGCGATCAAAGGCCGCCGGAGAAACGCGTCAAACATCATGAGAGTTATGTTAAAGAACGTCTGATTGGTCAAAGTCCGACCGTGCAATCCGATCTCCGCCATCCGCCATCGGAACATGTCGGCATCCTCAACCAACCAGCGCAGCCAATACAGATGGACGTCAGCCCGGTTTCGGTGGGAAATGTCGGCCAAGAGGTGTCGAGGATGCAAAGGTTCCTCCCTCAGTTTGCCCGCAGGACTCTGCAGATGCACGAGGTGCAGAGGCAACAGGTGCAGATGCAGCAGATGCCACCGGTGCAGCTGCAGCAGGTGCAGATGCAGCAGATGCAACAGGTGCAGATGATGGGACAAGAGGTACAGATGCCCCAGGCCCAAGGGCCGCTACAAGTCTTCGCCAATTCCAACCGTTCGCCTGTTGTATGGGTGCACGGACAGCGTGTAAGTGTGGACTGTCTATCTCTACAACCTCTTTACAATGTACATTCACGAATTTGGCCTCCCGAACACTAGCCGAACGCCCCCCAACCACGGTTATGAGTAGGTCGGCCCAAAGTCGGCTGCTGTTCGGCAAATTCGGCTTCCATTCATGCATGTAATTCAACATGTCTCAAAAATTCGTGGGCCGGTCGGGAGGTTCAATAATGAGGGTCTGCATGCCCTTTTTCGTTAACCGTTATGGGCTATTTTAATTCACCGTTAATCGTTGCCGGCCCGCTCTAATTCAACGTTAAGCGTTATCAGTATATTCCTCGTGAAGCGTTATGGGTCGTTTTAATTCAACGTAAAACGTTATTTGTCATCCTGAATTCAGCGTTAAGCGTTAATGAATAATTCTTCGTTACACCTAATTTTGCCTATCAAAGTGCATGAAAATGCGTCATTGAAGGTTTAAAAATACAAAATTTCCCGGGGGAGAATGCCCCCGGACCCCCCTACATTGCTCGCGCCTTTGGCGCTCGACTCGCGCTTCTGCGCTCGGTCCCGTCGGCTCTAGCCAGAACCAGTTTACCCTTCAATTTCCGGAGGTTTGCGGAGAGTTACAGAATTTTTTTAACGAATCCGTCAACCTTGACAGGCAAATTAACAAAAATCTTGAGTAAAATATGAAAACATCATAAGGACCGACAAACACTCTCAACACCATGATTTGCCTCTCAAAATGCGGGAAATTGCGTTTTTGAAGGCTTAAAAATCCTAAATTTCCCCCGGACCCCCCTAAATTACGAGCGCCTTCGGCGCTCCCATCTCAAAATCCATCGAAAAAACTGGGCAGACTGAAAAAATGCAAGCTGGCCGAAGTCCACTCGGACACCCCGGTATTTGTGGACGCACTCGGGGACCAGGGCAGGTGGGAAACACAGGGAACACATATCTTTAATGCATGCTTCATTACATGTAGTAATAAAGGTATACGTAATTTTGTCAGTGATCACCTTTTCCACAAAGCGAAATACCAAATCCAGTGCAGCTCGAAAAAAAAGCCTGTTAATTTACCGTTAAGCGTTGCCGGCCGTCCTGAATTTACCGTTAAGCGTTATCAGCCCTGCTGAATTTACCGTTAACCGTTGCCAGGACCCCCCCATGCAGACCCTCAATAATGGTTGGCTGGTGTTCGGCTGAACGCCAACAGAAGTCAAATTTGACTCAAATATAACTCGTTTCGATTCCTTTCGAAGGATGGGCATGGCCTACATGTATATCATGCCAGAGTACTACATTATAACGTCAGCTACTAACTTAGTCGGCTGGTGTTCGGGAACAAATTCCTACGAAGGTTGTGAATGTGTGACAGCTTAGCAATGCAACATTTTACACTTTTCAACAGAATCGTACTACGTTATAAGTATAAGTACGTATACGCTGCGATGTCTAGATTTCAAGTGAATGTCTGACCTATATTTTGACATCTCAACATCCCTGCCTTTCCGCTGACTTTCCCACAGGTCGAATCTGGATATTTGGACCACGTCTTCGCCGTGTTCAAGAGGACCGGGTACAAGCGAGGCGGTTCTGAGTCGGACTGGGATGTCATTTGGAGTCACGAGTACCCCTTTACAGACCCCGTACTGATACCTCATCTTCGTAACATGAAACCTCACCAGAAGGTAAAGATGAATCAGTTTTATCATGAAAGACCATCTGTGTTGGTATTTGCATGTTTTAAGTTAAAAATTTCGATCGGCAAAGAATTGTTCTCACCTAGAGCTTTTGACCAGTCAGTCTACTGAGGGAGGCCGAGAACCATTTTTTTGGTGTTTGTTGTTATATTCGTTACTTTATGATACATTGCGATTACGTTGAGAAGTAGATTCATTTTTCTAAATACTGTGTAAAAGTTTCGTGTTGTGGTGTTAAACGATGTTATAATCTTACTCCAGATCAACCATTGGCCCGGCGGCGGTTACGTCACCAACAAGATGAGCCTTGCGACGTCAGACATCCACTTTGTACCTCAGGCCTTCCGTCTGCCAGAGGAGAAAGATGAACTCTTGCGACATGTAAGACAACAAGTTATTATAGTATAGTAATATTCATGGCCACATTGTTTATTAGACTACAGCAAAGAAGTAATTACAAGAAATAATCAAATAGTTTAGATATTACTTTATAGATATTGTCACGACTTCTTCTTCTCTTCTGCGAACAAATATCACTGTTGTTGACTTTCTTATGAATCACTACGATTTCATGACACTACTTTGGATAATGTACCCTGAAAACGGAAAATGTACGTAGCGTGTCTCGTGTGTCATAAGAGGCTGTTGTAAGGTTGTGAAATGTTCTGGTATAAGCTGCAATTTGATCATATTCATCTTTAGGCTGAATCAAACCCCAGGAAGATGTGGGTACAAAAGAACAATAACCACCGAGGCATCAAGATCAAACCCTTGAATCGTAAGTTTGGCTACATGTAATACTTGCTGGTATTCATGTTTGCTTGTAGAGTATTAGTACTGTACAGCAACAGGGTATTTCGTGCGAAGAGACAAACCGTGCATTTGGTAATACTTAGACTTGGACTTAGACTTGGACTTGGACTTGGACCTGGACTTAGACCCAGACTTGGACTTTTAAAAACCTAGATTAATTAGACGTCGACTCGACCTAGATGTAGACTTCGACTAAGACCCAGACTTGACTTGGACTTGGACTTCGTCTTAGATCTAGATTTAGGCTTAGACGTAGGCATATTGGGGAACAGGTTTCCATCTCATCCGGTCTGTAGCCACTTCCTTGGCCTCTTCCCTTGATACGTTTGCTCTTTTTAGATACTGCTGGAAGCTTCAGGTGGTCTTTCGTGCGTGTTCAATCAGAATTAGCACAGACACTGTACTAGTACTACTACTAATACAAGGACTGATTCTGATTGAACACGCATCACGAAGATACATTAATATTGGTAAAATGTTCACACTTCACTTGTTCCTTCCTTCCACAGAGCTGACTCTGACTGGACAGAGTTTCGTACAGGAGTATGTTGAGAACCCGTTTCTCATCGATGGCAGGTAAGGAGGTGTCATGATAGCGTCATCTTCCACACGAAACATATATTTCATAAAGAGACCAAAGAAAAATAGGTACAAACTGTAACCTCCTCTCTCAGTCTGTTAGTATGTAGTAAACACTTATTAGACCAATTGAATTGGTAAATAGACACTGTACATGTAGGTATATAAAACTAAAACTCATAAACGTTCATAGTTACAAGATCTATCTATATTGGTTTTCTGAACATGATGCTTTAGATTATGCTTTCGCTTGTATTTTGTTTGCAGGAAATTTGACATTGGCATCTATACAGTTGTGACCTCCATCAACCCATTGAGGATGTACATGTATGAAGAAGAGGCCCTCTTCAGGTAATGTTTACACGCATGTCCATGTATGTACTCGCCATTTTCAGTCATAGCTGCAGTTGAGATATGACTTAACAAGCAACATCACAAATATTAGCCAGCTGCCGCCGCGCCGCGTGCCTGCGAAACTTGTGTGTTACCGTTTATACTTGCAATACCGATACAGATACGTAATCAAATGCGTAATAAAAAATCATATCATGAGTGATAGCCGCATCACAAGCTTGCTTTTTAGTGCTTTGCTTCAGTTTTAGAAAAAGATTTTTAGGCCATTATATCATTCCCTCATAAATTATGCAAATGAGTTCCTGATTTGAATGTTTAATGATATTCAGACTTACAGCAATCTGTTGCATGATCCAGGTACTGTTCAAAGCCATACCATCCTTTCGACCAATATGATGTTGACAAGTACGTTGTCGACGAAGACTACACTCCAACATGGGAGGTCGGTATCTCTAACATTTGAATTTGAAGTGTTGTTGTAACTTATCAAACGCCTATCAAACGAAAATGAAATTATCATTTTTGATCTAAGTTTTATAAGAAGACAGTTAAAACGATGTTCTATGTCAAATGATTGCGTATTTGCCTTTATTAGAATCTGGTCTAATATAATCAAAGCTTCTCTAACGCTTTGAAAAGTTCACTGCTTTGCTTCAAATAGTTCTTATTGAAATAGCCTTCTAGACGCTGCCGTCTAGAAGCAATGTAAAACATGAAGTACAATTGGACAGTCATTAGGACAAACGCTTCGCAGTCGAACTATTTTAACTTGTTGTTTTGTATTTACGTAGTACATGTCTGTTTCCCACAGATGCCTTCCTTGAAGGATACCTACAACAGGCTCCAATACAGTCACAAGGACACATGGAACCACTATGTCAGGTCTATAGGTTAGTCCAGTAAATATACTTTTTACGTTTAATAGATTTAGCATGAAAGTCCATCTGAATTGGTAACATAGTGAGAATCAAAATGTTCTTCGACTCAAAAGAATTTGAATCCCCAGAATTTTCGACCGAATTTCTCGGTCTTCATCAGCTGTCTGACCCAAGCGCTGTAGTTTTTGGGCCGCACGATTGTGACACTAGGTCACACTCGGTCAAAGTTCGTCGGAAGTCGGTATCCCCTCCCAATTCCACCGTTCTGAATTTTTTTCATAACAACATCATAACTGAAACTGAGAAGTCTTTCAGCTTTAAAGGACACAAATGACGTTAAATTAAAGTACACAAATGGTGTACGGTGTTACATGTACATAAAAGAACACAAATATCATACAGTGCATGTGTTACATCAAAACACAAGGACATATATACGGTGTTACATGCACGGTTTGTTTCCTAACAGGAAAAGACCCGTCAGGTGTGTGGAGAGACATCAGGACGTCCTTGAGAGAAGTGTACCTGGCCAGGGAACCCCTTTTCGTGGAGCAACTGCAGCAGTACAAGTCTTCCAGGTGAGAAGCTATGGGCTTCTGGTCGTACAGAACGTTAGCAACAGTTACCGTATTATATCCAGAAACGTGCCTATCTAGTTCTAAGCCAGAATAGGTTAGGGTTAGGATCAGACACGGTTCTGGATGGGCTTCACGTATCCTAGAATGTAGATTTGCCTAGAATGTAGATTGTAGGCACGGTTTGGATAGCCTGGGTGCCATCCGAATTTGTAACGGCTCCCCCGAAAAAATCGATTTTTTCGGGGGAGCCGTTACAAATTCGGATGGCACCCAGGCTACGGTTTGGATACAACTATCCAAAATTGTGCACGAGCATGGCCATGGATAAAGCATGGTTCTGGATACAGCAAACCATGTGCATTGGGTTGATACATGTGCTGTCCTTGGTACTGAATGAATAAGTGATATCAAATAATAGTCCAGACTGAGAAACATTAAAAAGATGTTGAAAGATGTTTGTTTTTAAATATTTGATTCATTCCCTTGCGTTCTTTGCGCCTAGACTGTATCTTTATTTACATATTTAATCGATAGGGTTCCTTTTATGTTGGTGAACAATTCTTAAGAGTATAGAATGATGTTATGTGGCATGTGTTTCAGAAACTTCTTTGAGCTGGTTCGTTTTGACTTTGTTGTCGATGAGGACCTGAACATATTTCTCATGGAGGTATGTAGTTCTTTCTGTTAATGTTTTTCTGTTCAGTATATGTTCGTACATTATATATTGTTGAAAAGATCACTCTCTTAACTAGAGTTCCACGATCTCATACCTTCGCCAAATGATGTTAGCCTTTATGAGTAAGAAATTATAGATTAATCCCCCTGATTGTGCAAATAGGATCCTATATTTGCATCAATTATATCTGTTGATCATATTCTACACCAGAAGACAGTCTTATCTTATCAAAGGGTGCCATTATAGCATTTCCTCATAAATTATGCAAATGAGGTCCTTATTTGAATAAGTTATGTTTAATTATGTTCACCTTCACATAACTTTCAAATATCCCAAGTATGAAATTCCAGGCAGTTACCACTATGTAAATATAACATTTTCTCATTAATTATGCAAATTAAGTCTTCATTTGCATAATCGATATCTGCCTGTATTTCTGCCGTTCTTAATTACATGTCACAAGCTTGAATAGTCCTATCATGGAATGCAGCTGATTTATGGAATTTCCTCATTAATTATGCAAATTACAATAATATATGCATAATTATAATATCATTATGTTAAGCATCACTTCAGCTACCTACATGCCAAAAATCACGACGATCCATCAATCGGTTCTAGAGTTATCCGCCTTTAAATATTTTTCAACTAACGCCCCTGCAGTTCCAGAGCAAGCCGCTAGGGAGGCCAAACTCACATCACTTCTTCCCCAGCACAAGAGCTACCTACCATCCAAATTTCGTCACCCTAGCATGTCTAGATCACGAGATATCAAAACCGGAAGTTCAGCTGCAGTACCATAACAAGCCGCTAGGGGCCCAAAATTTAATCAGTTCCACGTCTCATGAAGACCTATCCACCTACCAAATATCAAGACAATCCATCGTAGCCTTCTTGAGTTATCGTGCTCACACACACACACACACACACACACACACAGACACACGAACGCCTACGAAAACATAACCTTCTTGGCGAAGGTAATGAATAGGTTGCATTTTGGAGCTTTGAAAGAGATCGAGTAGCTTCTTTTATGTACAATGTTGTGTAATATCATACATATGCTGTTTACATTTTACAGGTGAACATGTCTCCAAACATGGCGTCCGGTCACACACCACCTAACAAGTACATGTATGAACAGGTGAGGGTATTGAGATGGTGGGTGTTGTAGAAAAAGAAAAAAGAAAAGGAAATGTAAAAGTATTACTATCATGAAAGTTCATCTGTGTTGGTAGTAATCACAGACTAAGTACAATGTTGAACTTTATTCCACACAATGAGGACAGAGAGGTCAAATTTTCAATGACCACTGTCGCCTTCATCAGGATAATTAATGACCTCTCGTCTCGTGAAGTCTCGTGTAAATAAGGTCACGTGTCTGTAAGCGTAACTCTCGCGAGATTACGCTCGGTAGGTGATTATCCTGATGAAGGCGACAGTGGTCGTTGAAAATTTGACCTCTCTGTCTTCATTGTGTGAAATAAAGTTCAACATTGGAAGATGAAGAAGTATTTGGTGACCGATTAAGTAAATAAAAAAATTACATTGTACGTGAAAACCTGGATAATCTATTTTCAATTTGCAACATTTATGATATGTTGTAAAGTCTTTGCATTGTCATTATGTTGTAACGTAAGTCCTCACGTCACGAACATCACAAAGTCGTTTTTGTATAGGGCGAAATGAAACTTAATTTGTCAACAAAAACAGTAGCATTTACGAACGTTTCTTGTGTCACAGTCTCATTTTGTATATACGTATCGTAGGTGTTGTTTAATCTGCTCAACTTGGTCGGAGTGGCCAGGTCAATTCCAACGACCTTGGAGGGAAGGTAAGATTCTATCAATAAACTGGGCTGTCCCTTTCATGTTCGTGCACACATTATAAGACCTTACAAAAGGACAGGTACACGTTTGCCTAAAAAATTGCCCATGTTATTTTTTTTTTTCGAAAATTGTTCAATCCTGTGGCAGCAGACAAACTGCATGCTGACTATCAATAAACATCGAGTCGTTGGAACATATTAAATCCGCTTTGGTCTTGTTCTGGATGTGCTGAATATACCCTGTTATGTACTAAGTAGTTGTTTATTGGCATGATCTGGTGTTTATCTGTCACCAAAGCACCGACGTTTTTGGGGGAAACTCTTAAATCCTCAAGCAGATCTTTTGGTGGATACAATAGAGTATAAAATTGGCAAGACAGTGTCAAATTGGCCAGGCAGTATGCAGTATGCATTCCGAAGCTGACTGGCGTAAAGATACCAGTAAAAAAGGAAAGCTCGATAAAAGCGCATGTAACACGTCAAAAGAGAAGAACAGGAAGCCTAAACCACTTATTGGGTAGTAAACAATCTTGACATGCGGCTCTTTTCTACCCTTCCAGTCCTGACGATCAGAAGTCCATGATGGTGAATGACCGTGACATTCAAGTCTACCCTGACATCTGTACCTCCAACACATGCAGGAGCACGGCAAGCTGTGCAAACATGGTGAGTGGTACTCACTTCTAAAACAGTCTCTTTGAACCACTCTTTCAAGTGTTTTGTTCTGTCCGCAAAGGAAAGTTTCTGCCAAGTCCTGCCAGGCTAAGTTACTCCTTACTTAAACAATAATACAGGGATTGGACAGGTTTTATCTTACATTTAAGAATAAACGTTTTCATTACGTTTAAGAATTACGTACGTTTTCCTTTCTTGCAAACAAAAACATCTTCGTTTTATAAGTTTACTCAAACAGTGATATATTCAAAAGTACTTTATCTATGGACAGGTCGTATTTTCAGAGGTTCTCCAAATAATCTACAGACTGTAGAACTCCTTACGTATGCTATGATACCATGGATTGGTTTTATCTTACATTGATTAAACCTTGATGAGAACTGCCCTGTAAAACTGAATGACTGGGGTCTGGTATGTAATTTCCATAATATACTCGCTTTCCTCTCTTCAGTATTGCAAGTTGTGTGAACATTGTCTGACACCTGACTGGAGGGAACACCTGAAGGCTGCATTCTTGGAACATGTCGGTAGGAGGAACTTCAGGAGAGTCTGTCCAGTACCGATGGTTAGTCAATTCATTTTTATATTGTATAATTGTGCCCTCTACAGATGCAAAACATATTATTTTTGCTAATTTCTTCTGTTCCAAACAAGTAAGGGTAATGACTTGGACCAGATAGTTGTCACAATGGTATCTGGTTCTGTATCAGACATCTTCTGACATCCTGTATCAGACACCATTATGTAGCAAGTTGCAGGGCAGAGTTGGAGCGGCTGGTCAGCGTATACTATGAATGTGTTTGAGTACGAATTAACAGCAGTATTTTTTTAGACTAGACCATGTGAATGTACATTATACATTTGCTTTGCTTTCTAGTTTCTTCCCGCAACGCACAGTTAAAGTTGCTGAATTCGAATGTTATTTGTTGTATGCCCTGAATGGATTTTTTTCAATGAGGTCATAATTTCATTCCAGACTCAGTCAGAGGCGAACAACTTGAAACCTCCGAGCGACTCAACTCTGAGTGAGGCCAACTGGCTGATGGACCTCTGGTTTCGGGGCAAGTGCCACAAGGACCCTGCATGGTGTACATGAAGCTTTCAAATGTTGTGGGGAAATGTATATCTTTAAACATATACCATTTCTCAAACTCCTCTATAACGAAGAGAACGGTCACTTCCTTATAGGTTATATTCTTGAGCAGTTACAAAGCTGACTTTTTACTGTTCGACTCTGTTTTAAAACTTGTTTCCAGCCGTCTACGCTGCAATTAAACTAACGCAACCTTTGCTCTGTCGGCACGGCTCAAAAGAGGCACCAAAGCGGTTGGCTGAAGCACTGCAACACGAGCTTTTAGCATAATTTATTTACAATTACAGTTTCCCCAGTGTGACACCAACAATAGCACAGCCTAATAATTGCACAAACTCCACTGTTATGGGCAAAGAAGGGAGCTATCTATTGCAGGATTCTTTACTTTTTAGATCGACAATCGGATATACTTTGCTCGCTATGTGCTATTAATCAGGGCATATAAGTGACCTTTACAAGCGTCCCGAATAAGGGTCAACGTGTAAAGCCTGGTTATCCACATACAGCACAGTATAACAGATTGACGATGTAAAGCACTTATAATGGACTTTTCATAACTCTCTTCGTTGTAAAAGAGGATTTGCTGGGAGGTCCGGATGTAGTACTACAGTCAGTCGTAGAGCGTCTCTTTTGAACCGTGCCGCACTGCGAATGCAACTCCAACAGGTTCATTTCTTGAAGCTTTACTAATGAGGTATTTTTTCTTCATTTTGATGTAGTGTGGTGATGGCTGGTGCTAGTCAATCTAATACACACCTTGCAATATTTCAATCAGTACAGTATTGACCGTTTTACAATAAGAACAAATGCAGAATGTGTTTAAAGAGTTAAACGTACAGATTTGGATCAAATAGGGGTAAGTTCATTAACTTATTCGGATAGCCTTGTTGCTACTCGTACGTAATCTCATTTCTGTGACGCCTGTGTATATGCTGCAAAATTCTAAGAATTAAATTCGTTACATATGAAATATAAATACAGCCATTACGTTACCTCAGGTACAAATGAAAAACATGAAAGGTGTTATGAGAGCTCAAAACATGAGAGATGTACATCTTTCTTGTCCATCTTTATTCCTACTGCTTGTTGTTTACAGTTTTAACATAACATAAATGTTAGTAATGAAATATATTTGAATAACATTTAATGTTTTACTACGGGTATAGGTGGTGGTTTTCATTTACTTCCAAATAAAGACTTACAAAACCGTAGCAGTCTGTCAGTTTGATAGTACAGTGAAGTTCTATTTTTGTATTTTAGCCACCTTCCACTGTCGTCTATCAAATAGGAGACAAAAAAGCTCTAACAGGGTGAACGAAAGACGTGAAGTTTGACTTTGAGGGAGGAAAGTCTACTAGTGTACTTTGTGCCTTTTCGGACAATGCCTTTCACTTTCAGATCATTATGATCAGAATTATAATTATAATTAAACGTGTGCATTTGTCGATAATCTGCATGTGTCCTCAAATCTTTGCTTTGTTTGTTATACATGTGTGCTTAGTATCATTGTAATCTAGGAATAAATTTATCGTATGTTACAATACTTGACACAAATGTTTTCAAAACTAGCTGCCTACGTCACCCTTATTTTCAGATACTAGTAAGACATTCCTATGATGATATTGTTTTTATAACTACACTTCGGTAGCCAAGACAAGTCCAATGATAGAAACAGGGGTGGTGCATAGTGCGACAGTTGAAGTTACATAGTACGCGTAGGTTTCAACCATGTTGTGGGACACAAGCACAAGTCTTATCGACTAAAAATCTACCCAAAAAGTTATGTTTTACCTTTTTTATTTTTACCGTTTGGGGAACTGAAGAATTATGGAACCTTCTCCCTCCAAAACACCCCTACATAACATGGACACTACAGGTAAATACGGATCATTTTTCCACCCCTGTCGGTTAATGGAACATTTCCAGGGGAATCCCCCTTCCGTAAAGGTGAGTCACGCCGGGGATTTCCGCTGTCGGGAATTTCCGCTTCCGCTGGTGCCAGTCGTGAGCTAAGACAGACGGACAGTTTTATCTCTAGATGGACGTAAAAGGTGAGTTTTTACATAGATAAGGCCACAAACATTTATCATTAACATACAGCTGACAAAACCGAACACTTTACACGCAGTGTGAGCCTATAGCTAGTGGGGATTAGGGCTTCGTAACAAGAATGTGTTGCTGATTTGCTAGCCTGCCCCTCCCCCCTCCCAAAAATTATAAGAATTCACATTTGCTTAATAATACTCTGCCCTTTTCTCAAAGACTCATTAACAAGAGTTATAAATGTTTCTGGTACACCAGGGAATGTGTCAACTGCAGTACGTGGCCTTAGACTGATAGTGATACGAGTAATATTACTTCTAACGTTATAGTATGTTTATGGCACTTGCAGACCGCAATTCTTCACTCTTATAAGTTATACGTAGTGAAAAACGGACTACTCGAAACTGAATAGGTGTGCAGGGCTGCATATGTCCTGATGGTTGTAGTGACAGGTTGTATAGTCACAGAAACCAGATGACAACAGGTTGTGTTTGAAGTATCAGGATGCACAACGAACAATATTAGCGCCTGACCAGATGAGTGTCATATTACCGTTTACCTAATATGAGGTTGACACTGTAAATATTAGCGTTTCATCGCGTGTATATGGGTATAACAGTATAAGTTTCGACCTCCTAGAAGATTTCATGGGAACTGTAAGTATGTTACAGCCGTAGACTTTGAACCAGGACAACGGAAGAAGGAATAAAGGGATTTTCGTGAATATAAAGATTCGTTACCGGAGTCCCAATGAAAGATAAAACCCATCGGCTGCCAGTTAGAATTTTATCAAGCCTTTTTTAAAAGACATGCACTCGGTCCACCATCCGTACATGATTGGTACAATGTTTATTCTTCCTCAGGTCAATAAACCAGAGTGCGGTCAACAAAGATGCGTGTTCATCGGGATACTAAAGAACTAAATAAGATAATGTGAAGACACGGGCGGAGAAAATCTTCAATATCATATTTGGTTAATAGGAAAGGCCCAAGAACACATTCTGATTATATAAGCAAAGAAAACCCTGTCAGGGGGAACAAATATGTCACACACCGAGCTGTCTACAGTGGTGGACGAATTTCGGGAACTAGACTTAATCTTTAAAAGTGGTTCTGATCTGAATGTTGTAGAGAGGGGATACGCACGGAAGTTAGTTCACGCTATAAGTACTCAAAATGAGGTTTTGGAATGTGAAGCCTTGAAAGGTCTCGGAGACTTGTACCTACACAAGGCAAAGATGAAGAAGCATAAAGCAGAGAACTTCCACAAGGCCTGCTCGTTGTACACAGAACTCTTACGGTATTACACTAGTACTGAGGAGAAGCAAGTTGTGCAGCATCGCATCAGATATGCAGAGAAATGCACGAAACTGGTCCATGATCAAGAGGTTCTAAAAGCGTGTGCTACGAATACCATATTGGCTGTGTCCACAGCCCTTGACAAAGTGAAAAAGAAGTCCAGGTTGAAAGTACATGGTATGACGCCCTTGATTGAAGGTTATACAAATTCTTTAGTGAAAGCAATCGTGGAAGGAAACAAACGTTTGGAAATAGAATCTTTAAAGAGCCTGGGAGATGTGTACCTAGAGAAGGGAAGGGTTGGTAAGGACGAGACAGCGTTCAGTAAATCAGCTGGTCTGTACCGAGCGGCGCTGGACCGCTGTGAAGATTCAGACGGCAGAGAAACGCTAAGACACCGCATCAAGTACGCGGAGAAAGTCACGGAAAAAGGACGCAAGGTTAGACAATCCTAATCCTTTTCAATCATATAAAACTCACTTTCAAATATGACGTTTTTGGCGTGTTGCACAGATAACTTCAGTTTTATGAGACTGATAAAAAATAGACCAATGTCCTTTTTAAAATGCATGTTCAGTATACTTAATTGAGTATTGGAAATTCTACTTTTTATTACATGCTTCTAAGGTATTGTTCGCAAATTTAAGCTAAGTTTCCATCTTCATATTATCTTCTTCCCAAAGAAACGCCGAGAAATGGGACGGACCAGAAACAAGAAAATTAGAAACAGTAGCGAAGAGAAACAGGTCACAGACAGGTTTGTTTACTGTCTTTTTTAAAAGAACTTTATAAGAACTCTCCAATACCATACCTGGTTCGCATATTGAATTCCTCCAAACAATGTGTATCATATTTCTAGTCTGTCCTCTAGTCTCATTTACATTGTATATTGTTGTGTTAGTATTTAATATATGTTTGTAATTGTTAGTTTTAATGTTAAAATTGTAACTGTTATTTTTAAGTATGTCAATGTATAATGATATGGATTTTATTGATTAACTAGTAATTTTAGTGTGTTATGTTAGATGTTATGTTATGTCAAAAATCAAAATTGTACAGCAAGACACAAATTAGCCGATGGCTACAAGGTTTTGTTTTTACAAATAAACCATTTGATTGATTGATTGATTGATTGATTGATTAATTGATTTTTTTACTATGCACTATGCACCGCCAAGGCTAGATAGATGCTCAGCCAATTCACAGTACATTTAAAGTCTCATGTCCTGTATGGGTTAAAGTTACAGTATCCCAGTATCAACACTTATGACTCCTTTTCTACAGTACGTACGAAGACCACCTACAGAATGGCTGCAGGGCCCTGCAGACAGGGGACCTGGACACGGCAGAACGAAACTTTGCAGCTGCGCTCAAGGCCGTTCATGTGAAAGGTGAGTGATTCCGTGTACCTGTCACATGGTGAAAATCTGGATTTTATTACAGCAAGGTTAGTGAAGTCAATAAAAAAAAAGATACACAACTGCGTATACGTGTACCACACACTGTGTCAGCTAACTTGCAAATGAGCTTTTGGGGCTAAGACATAATTAAGTAACTTCCAAAGATCGTTTAAAATATTTTCGAATGCAGGTCAGCGCTGGAAAGAGACAGAGCCCCTTTGCAACTTGAGCGATGTCTACCTGAAGAGAGGAGAGCAGTCAAAAGACGGAGGTGATTTCACCAAGGCTGCAGCACTCAGTAACGCAGCACTGGTGAGAGCAAAGACAGAAGACAGAGAAGTCATCAAACATACAATCCAGGAAATAACACAATCTTTTGTTAAGAACGTCCTGAGTATCGAACAAACGGTACCCACGGATGACGTAGAGAAACACAAATCGGTGTTAACAGAATGCCGCGGCTATGTGGAAGAAGAAATCATAAGAATTGAGCAGCAGATAGATCCTTATCGCCTAGATGATAACGACCCAGAGATCATGGAAGTAGAAATGGAGAGAGTGGAAGCAAACAAAGCCCTGTTTGACACTATTGTTCATCAGCGAAGAACATTCATAGCTGGCCTTGTAGATGAGTGTATGGGGGTTATGGGCCCCCCTCCTGCAAGTATGCCACGATAGGACTGGGTTCACAGGCCACAGGACTGGTAACGCCATACTCCGATCTGGAGTTTGCTATTTTGATAGAGAAGGAAACAGAAAACAGTCTAAAATACTTTCAAAACCTCACACATTACCTTCATCTCAAAGTGATCAATCTTGGGGAAACCATTCTCCCGGCCATGGCGATCAAATCTCTCAATGACTTCGAGTCAAAGAACAAGCTTGACGACTGGTTCTATGACACTGTAACGCCACGTGGCTTTTCCTTCGATGGAGCCATGCCACATGCATGTAAAACCCCACTAGGGAGAGGGGAAACATGCCTCCTTATTCGCACACCAAGCCACATGGCCAAATTTCTTGAAGATGATGTTAAGCTACATCTTAAGAAAGGCTACCACCTAGCGAGTGTGTTGGGAAATGTATCATTAATTACTGGAGAACAAGGCTTGGTCGACGAATACACCTTTGCATGGAATCATCAACTGAAGAAAAATGGAAATGAAATTGCCAGGCTACTAGCAAAAACTATGTTGATGGAAAATACCAAGACTTTTGAAATGCAGAATCCGACTGCCCGAATGCTGAATGTAAAGAAAGAAGTTTATCGCTTTTCAAGCCTTGCTGTATCTTGTTGGGCACTGCTCTGTGACATACAGCCGACCACAATCTGGGAGGACTATACAGACTATGTACAATAAGGGTGCCATTAGTGATAAGAACGCACATCACTTAATGGTTCTGGTCAGCATTTCGGCAGAACTGAGGTTGCGAACTTACATGAACAACCGTGGTCAGGTGGAAAACGTGTCAATGTTGTTGTCAATGTCAGGCAACGATGACATTGAGGAAAAACAAAGAGAATATTTCACTTCTCCAACGTAAAACAGCTCATGAGATACTACTACACGGCAACACCTTTGAAGAACTTTGTTCCGCAACTTAGCAACGGTCAACCAGTAGAAGAGCCCTCGATTCTATTCGACAACTCTATTCTTCTGCAAGCCGATGTGTACGAAAGTCTGTGCGACTACAACCAATCAAAGACATGCCTTGAACAGGCACTTCAAACAGTGCTATCAACACACGGAACGGGTGCGATTCACCCTCACATTGCCTGGATACTTGATAATTTGGGTGCCGCCTGGGGTAACCTTGGTGATAACAGAAAAGCCGTCAGCTATCATCAGCAGTCATTACAGATGAAGCGGAGTATCTATGGTGAGGACAACGCACACCCTGACATCGCCTCGTCACTTAACAGCTTGGGTGTCGCTTGGAGGAACCTTGGTGATCACAGGAAGGCCGTTAGCTATTCTGAACAGGCACTGCAGATGAAGCGGACTATTCATGGTAAGAACACTAAAGATGCTGATGTCGCCTCGTCACTTAACAACTTGGGTGCCGCCTTAAGTGATCTTGGTGATCACAGAAAGGCCATCAGCTATTATGAACAGGCACTAGAGATGAGCCGGAGTATCTATGGTGAAGACAACGCACATCCTGATATCGCCTCGTCACTAGGCAGCTTGGGTAATGCATGGAGTAACCTTGGTGATCACAGGAAGGCCGTTAGCTATTATGAACAGGCACTAGAGATGATGCGGAGTATCTATGGTGAGGGCAACGCACATCCTGATATCGCCTCGTCACTTCACAACTTGGGTGCCGCCTGGAGTAACCTTGGTGATCACAGGAAGGCCGTTAGCTATTATGAACAGGCACTAGAGATGAGGCGGAGTATCTATGGTGAGGGTAACGCCCATCCTGACATCGCCTCGTCACTTTACAACTTGGGTAGCGCCTGGAGTGACCTTGGTGATTACAGAAAGGCCGTCAGCTATCATCAGCAGTCATTACAGATGAAGTGGAGTATCTATGGTGAGGACAACGCACATCCTGATATCGCCTTGTCAATTAACAACTTAGGGTATCACCTGGAATCACCTTGGTGATCACAGAAAGGCCGTAAAATATTCTCAACAGGCACTAGAGATGAGGCGGAGTATCTATGGTAAGGGCAACGCACATCCTGATATCGCCTCGTCACTTAACAACTTGGGTAAAGCCTGTAGTCACCTTGGTGATTACAGAAAGGCCGCCAGCTATTTTGAACAGGCAATAGAGATGATGCGGAGTATTTATGGTGAGGTCAACGCACATACTCACATCGCCTTGTCACTTTACAACTTGGGTACCGCCTGGAGTAACCTTGGTGATCACAGAAAGGCCGTCAAATATTTTCAACAGGCACTAGAGATGAGGCGGAGTATCTATGGTGAGGGTAACGCACATACTGATATCGCCTCTTCACTTAACAACTTAGGTGCCGCCTGGAGTCAACTTGGTGATTATAGAAAAGCCGTCAGCTATTTCAAACAGGCACTAGAGATGATGCAAAGTGTCTATGGTGAGGACAACACACATCCTGATATCGCCTCGCCACTTAACAACTTGGGTAATGCCTGGAGTCACCTTGGTGATTACAGAAAGGCCATCAGCTATTATGAACAGGCACTACAGATGAGGCGGAGTATCTATGGCGAGCGCATCGCACATCCTGATATCGCAAAATCACTTCAAAATCTGCTTGTTAACGTTGTGAAAAGCCGCCTCTTATGCTCAGTTTATGAAACAGATGATTGAAGAGACTTTATATAGACACTGACATTGCCACTCTCCTGATTAACTTTTTGTGTCCCATACATGTAAATTATTCAATAGTTACACAGAAAGCATTTTAAAGATTATCTTTAAATGATTTGGAAGTATGATGATTTTCCGTTTGTTAAAAACGGAAACATGCAGCTATTTTGATGTTAAGAATTACTTTACCGTCATATTATGTATTTGTATACCTTATATCCTCCCAGGGTGATATTTATCCTCAGGCAACTTAAATGAACGTACTTAGGTTTTAAACTGACAAACTCAGCAGGGTCAGGTCAATGAGAGCTCACAGCCTGAGAGATGTACTTGTCCATGTACTTATTAAAGGTATCTTTATTATTCCTACTGCTTGTTGTGTACAATTTTAATATGAATGATAGTTATTTTAGAGATATTTTTGAATATCACAAATGTTTTGTCGAATGTCCAATCGCCAAAACAAGCTATAGCTAGGATAATACCGACACATACTTTTTGAATTCCAAAAAGCTCTATGTGTAAAGAACCTTTTGACAAACAGTGACTACTGTCCTCTTAGAGATGTTACTAAAATATTCGAGTCGAGGGAAGGTACCCCCCCCCCCATTTCACATCTTTGAAAGCATTCATTGAAAACAAAACTCCATGAAGAAAAATGACTCCAATACAAAGTGCTCGAAGAAAGAGAAAATCGTTTTTCTTAGAAAGAACAAGAACATTTAGTGACGAAAAAAATCACAACTTGGCTAAAAGTTCCAATGAAGGAGCTAAGAGAAGTCAAGTAATAGAAGGCAACCAAATGTATGGATGGAAACTCTTCATTTTATTCAATTCCTCTCCTTTAGAGTTTGGAGTTATTTTTTGGTTAATTGAATATTGAACTCATGGGATGGAAACAACATCTTTGTTTGACAGAACAACAATGCAGTCGATGGATTGCATACGATGCTGTTTGTACTTGTTTACATGTTTACCTGTTAACACCTGTCTGCCCTTTCTAAAGCACTAACCAAATGTTAAGCAACTTGAAATTCTAAAAACAACAATGAGAAATGTTATCAGCTAAGAATTCCTGACAAACGAGAGGAACTAGAAAGAAAACAAATAAAGTTCAGGTCCTTGCTTAAATCCAGAACAAAAGATTCAGTTGAAGATTCATAACGGACCTTCTTGCTAACAAAACGTTATGGTGTTGTTTAATTGACTGATTGATTTACTCTCCAAGCAGAGGTTTGGGGTTATTTTCAGCGTGTTTTAGTCTTTTTTATCGGGGCTTGTCTTTTGCCCCCCCCCTTGGGAAAAACCTTTATGGTGGGAAAAAATTCAGTGCAAAAGAGAAACCACGATAAAAGAAAAAGCCGCTAAAATAACCCCAAACCCAAACCTCTGCTTGGAGAGTACCGCCGCTCTGGCTCTTACCGCCAGGCCTGAGCAATGACAGCACGTGTACCAATGAAAGGAACGCTGACGCCATGCATCCTTTCCAGAAGCCGCGTCTTTCCAGGGAAAACAGGCAAAATTCAGCTTGCAAAAAACGCGGAGCTCGAGAGATACGTCCGTATCCTCGGTCAACCGTGGCGTTGTGTTTGGTTGCTGTGCTACAGCGTAGCCGCTAAATGCAGTTCTAGAACACTCCGCAACAATCGCGAGCACCCCTGGAACAAGAAATTGATACTCTTGATCTGAGGTGACCCAAAAGACGTCGTCCGGGTGATGATGGAAAGTTGTGGCGTCTTTTTGACGTGAAAGATTGTCTTTGACTACTATCTTTTATAACACGTATATTCATATATATATCTAATGCTGTAGAAAACATGTATTTTGAAACAGATACAATTTCTCAAATTCTGCTATAACGAAGAGAAGGTTTATTTTCCAAAGATGTAGATTGATTTTAAACCAAAGATGTGAAATTGAGTGTGCAGTTTGCACGGTTCAAAATAGACGCCTTGCAAATTGACAAATTTAGCTATTAGCTGGTAGTCATGCATCTTACATCTTCACTGATTTCTTTGAGAGTGTTCGTAGAAAATCTGAATCGTTCTGAAAAGTGCTCCTTTTGCACCTTTGTGTCTAGATTTGACACAAATGTTTTAATCAATCAAATGGTGGGTTCTTCATAAAACATACAGTCAGTACCATACATTTCTTAGGGTTTAGTTGCAACTGAACACTGTTGGACCATCGTTCAAGTGAGTCCACTTCGTCCTGGAGGAGAGACTGATCACGCACATGTACATTTTCACCAAGTGACAAGTCGTCTACATATTTCCACCGGTCATCATGGGATTGGCTTGCATCGTTGATCATACATAAAAAGATGACAGGGCCTAGTTTGGTGCCTTGTGGCACTCCTGAAGTCAGTGTTTCCCAGTCCGATACGGCAGATCCGTAGCGTACTTTCTGTCGCCGTCCTGTCAGGAAGCTGTCTACATCACCATATTTCCAAATAAGACATTCCTATGATGATGTTGTTTTAACTACACTAATGTGACCAAGATCTAGACAAGACCAATGATAGAAACAGGGGTGGTGCATGGTACACGACAGGTGAATTAATGCTTGTAGTTTTCAGACCTTGTTGTGGGGCACAAACATCCTAGTCTTATCGACTAAACAATTACCGAAAAAAGTTGTGTTTTGCCTTTCGTATTCTTACCGTTTGGGCAACGAAACAGTCAAGAATGATCCCCCCCTCCCCTCCAAACAACCCCTGAATGACACGGACAGGTAAATGCGGAGTCTTTTTCCCCACCCCTGTTTGTTAATGGAACATTCCCAGGGGAATCCCCCTTCCGTAAAGGTGAGTCACGCCGGGGATTTCCGCTGTCGGGAACTTCCGCTTCCGCTGGTGCCAGTCGTGAGCTGAGACAGACCAACAGTTTTATCTCTAGATGGAAGTAAAAGGTGAGTTTTTACATAGATAAGGCCACAAACATTTATCATTAACATTACAGCTGACAAAACCGAACACTTTACACGCAGTGCGAACCTATAGCTAGTGGGGATTACGGCTTCGTAACAAGAATGTGTTGCTGATTTGCTAGCATACCCCCCTCCCAAAAATTATGAAAATTTACATTTGCTTCTCAAGGAATCATTAACAACAGCTCAAAATGTTTTGAGTGCGCCTGGGAATGTGTCAACTGCAGTCATGACCTTAGACAAGTAATTTTATCTCTAACGTTATAGTATGAGTATGTCACTTGCTCACACAAGACCGCCATTATTTCTTCACTCTTATACGCAGTGAAAAACGTACTATTCGAAACTGAACAGGTATGCATGGCTGTATGTGTCCTGATATAGGAAACAAGAACATCATACCTAAACATCAGTCCTGTTACACTTACGACGCGCGGTCATACTCGTGGTAGGTACTCGAACGAATTTCATGCCGACCAATTTTCCAGGCAGATCGTGATAGAACCAACACAGAGGATATGGCAATCTTTTCCAGAACAAGACAGCTGGAGTTTTGAAACACATGCAATGATGCATGGCTTTCGCAGGAATGCCTTTAGTTTATGATCGTCCGACGATTATGTTGATAATTGATAACTTTATTGCACAACAGTTGTACAGGGTACAAAGTATGGCATCTACTATATACATTATGTGACCCAGCCCTTAAAGTTTTGATAGCTGTTGTCGGTGTGGGTGTAATACGATACACGACGCTGATGGTAAAGACTTAGGTTTCGTGGTTAGCAGTTAGACCAAGTCATGTTCCTCTGTGAACATGCACCGTGGTTCTACGATTTTTAGTGACAGGTTATAGGTCAATTTTTGTCTGCTGTTGTGACAACAGATGACAACAGGTTCTGTTTAAGGTATCAGGATGCATGACGAACAACATCAGCGCCTGACCAGTCAATGGCGGATGAGTGTCATATTGCTGTTTACGTACTGTCAGGTAGACCCTGTAGATATTAGCGTTTAAACGCGTGTTGTTTTGTGGGGTGACAACTGTAATACAGTAGATGGGAATAACAGTATACGTTTAGACCTCCTAGAAGATTTCTTGGGAACTGCAACATGTTACAACCGTAAAGTTTGAACCAGGGCAACTGAACAAGGAATAAAGGGATTTTCGTGAATATAAAGATTCGTTAGCAAAGTCCCAATGAATAACAAAATCGGCTACCAGTTAGAATTTTATAAAGCGACATATAAAAGACATGCACTCGGTCCGCCAAATGATTGGTACAATGTTTATTCTTCCTCAGGTCAATGAACCAGATTGCGGTCGACAAAGATACATGTTCGTCGGGATATTAAAGAACTAAATAAGATAATGTGAGGACACTTGCGGACAAAACCTTATATGTCGTATTTGGTGCACAGGGAAGATTTAAGAACAGATTCTGATTTAATATATAAGCAAAGAAAATCCTGTAAGGAGGAACAAATATGTCACAAACCGAGCTGTCTGCAGTGGTGGACGAATTTCGGGAACTGGATTTGAAATTTAAACGCGGTTCTGATCTGGATGTTGTAGAGAGGGGATACGCACGGAAGTTGGTTCACGCTATAAGTACTCAAAATCAGGTTTTGGAGTGTGAAGCTTTGAAAGGTCTCGGAGACTTGTACCTACACAAAGCAAAGAGGAACAAGCATAAAGCAGAGAACTTCCACAAGGCCTGCTCCATGTACACAGAACTGTTACGGTATTACAGTAGTACTGAGGAGAAGCAAGTTGTACAGCATCGCATCAGATATGCAGAGAAATGCACGAAACTGGTCCATGATCAGGAGGTTCTAAAAGCGTGTATCACGAATACAGGCAATACCATATTGGCTGTGTCCACAACCCTTGACGAAGTGGAAAAGATGTCCAAGTTGAAAGGACATGGTACGATGCCCTTGATTGAAGGTTATACAAATTGTTTAGTGAGAGCAATCGTGGAAGGAAACAAACGTTTGAAAATAGAATCCTTGAAGAGCCTGGGAGATGTGTACCTAGAGAAGGGAAGGGTTGGTAAGGACGAGACAGCGTTCAGTAAATCAGCTGGTCTGTACCGAGCGGCGCTGGACCGCTGTGAAGATTCAGACGGCAGAGAAACGCTAAGACACCGCATCAAGTACGCAGAGAAAGTCAAGGAAAAAGAACCCAAGGTTAGACAATCCTAATCCTTTTCAATCATATAAAATTCACTTTTAAATATGACGTTTTTGTTGTGTTGCACAGATAACTTCAGATCAGTTTTATGCGACT